CTTGGAACGGTGGCGATGCCTCTCTTGGAGCGACGACTAGGTCTCGTCCGAGCAGGCGCATGGAGTTTATGGTGAGCGAATTAGAAACCGATAGCACATGACTCACGATTTTTGCTTGTATTCCTTTCATTTCTAAAACCCAAAAATAAAGGTCCCAGATTCTCTCCCTCGTTCCTGTCCTACTTTCGCTTTACATCGGACTCGGCAGCAGCAGCGGGGACGGGGATATGAGCCGCCATAATAGCAATAGTCAAGGCCCCGCATGGAACAAATGTCTCTTATTCGGCGGGATGGCTCTCTCCCGGATCGGACTGTGGAGTTTCGATCTGGTCCAGCTCCAGCTCTTGCAAGAGTCGCTGACGAACCACCCGAGAAAAAACGCGTTGACGGCGTTGCAGCTCAGTCTGCAAAACGTGTTTGATCTCACAAAGTATGCGCTCGTCCTTGGACTGAACAAGCCCTCCCAGTTCAAATGGACCGCATTGGTCAGTTGGATCGCCGTGTTCACAGCGGTGAGTCCCGTCCACCCCTCCTTCTCTTACTCGATCGTGTGTCTTGTTCTAGGCTTTAGACTGAAACTGTAGTTGGAAAATACATCAAGGGCGTCGTCTATTCGACCTATGTGTACAAGATGAGAGGCCACCTGTTGCATTGGCAACTATTGATCTTCTACGACAAACGAACGGATAATCACGAGGAGAACGAGAACCAAAACCCATAGTACCTCGCACTGCTTTTTCGAGTACTTGAAGAGATTAATCGATTTTCACTACTCATTCGAACGCCGCTCGCTCGTTGATCCTGACGAACCGAGGACATCGAGTGCTAAGAACATTGAATACACAGGGATACTAGTAGATGAGAGCTACGTGACCAAGAAGAAAGCCAAAAGAAAAGGAAAAAGCCACAAACGTACAGCAACAACGGAATGAGATGAAATGAGATGAGAGGGACTGCTAGAGCAAGATGCAAAATATTCAATCCACAAACAAAAGAGTAAAGATACCACCTTATTTTCAAACTTCATCGTTGTCCAGCAGACCGCCGGCCATGGCGATCAATCTCGCCCCACCCTCATAGGTTTCGTCCCGTTCTGCATAGCCAGTTTTCCCTTTTTGAACGAGTTGGTCCCATCCATGACCGACTCCCATCATCTTCCTCCCAAACACGCGAACCTTCGTTCCCTTTCCCTTTCCTTCTTCGCCGCTGCCGTCGCCGTCGCTTGTCAGTTTTGTTCGTAGTTCTTCTGCAGCGCGCATGAGGTGGTCATACTCTGCCGTATAAATGGCCACGAGCGGAGGGAAATCGCGCGTGTCGGCGTTGAGAGTAGAGACCGTAGGTCGATGGGCCAATTCCTCCTTTCGTCTCCGTTCCTTTTCCCACGATAGACGACCTCTGAGATCAGCGGGAGGGAATAAATGGGCATTGGTGATGTACTTGGAGAACCAGAGTGGGAGGACCATCCCGGGGAGGTCCTTTTTGATGGCCTTGGGAACGGCTACAACCTCTCGTGGTCCCTCCCATGTTGCTGCGGGATACACGGCAAATACGCCCTTGATGGGATGCACCGTCTCCCCATCCGCATCCGCGTTCGCGTCTACATCCTTTGGGTGGCCCTCCTCATCCGTCTCTCTCTCTTTCCTGCGGGTACGTGCTTCGTACCCCAATTCGACACTGAGACCCAACGCAATCGAGCCTCCAGCACTAAACCCGCCAAGGGTGATCTTGCTCGCATCGTAGAGTTCTGGATGGCGGAGCACATAGTCGTACACGTCCCGCGCGTCTTCTACATCCATCGGGCATGGATACTCTGGTGACTTGGCATAATCGCAGTCGAGAATGGTGAGAGGGTACGAGGAGGAGAAAGAAGGGTGCTGGAGCACCTGGCGGATGAATTCAGAGTCGGAGCCCAGACCTGGGAGGATCCATCCAGAACCTGTCCAACATGAATAATCAGTTTTTCCTTTCCTCTTCTTTCATTTTGTTTCATGAGTGGAGAACGGGACGGGACAGGCAGGACGGGGTACGTGGGAGGAAAGGCAGTGGATTGCTTACCATGCCAATTAAGGTGGACAGCCGTCGGCTTCTCCATCGCTCTGAGCGCTGCTGCGTTTTTATGAACATGTACGCGTATCACGCGGCCTGGCGTTTTCGTCGAGGGCACCCTCAATTTCGCATGCGGCGTTGCGAGTTTGGGAAGTTTGCCCACGGCGCGGCCCAATCGCTCGCCATAGTCTGTTCCGAATCGCATGAGCTTGATGGGGATCAAGAGCTTGTAATACGCCCATGGGCTTGACGAGTGGTCTGCGTCTGCGAGCGACATCTGTTGTTTAGTCACGAAGCTTGATGGTCGGTTGAATAAGGAACGGGCGCGCTCGTGTGTAGTTTCTCTACTCTAATCTCGTCAAACGACTCGCGCTCGACGCAGTGATTTACAAACGACGAAAAAAAAAAAGAGGAAAAAAGGCGAGGAAGTAAGCGTCGATGGGTGGTAATGGTGGAGTCCAAAGTAGTAAGGATGAACGAACTCCGATAACAGCGGGTGGCTGCTTAATGACACTGTATATTTATCATCATTATTGGGACGTATAAAAATAGCCGTAGACGAGCACTCCAATCTCCGTTCGTCACCATCTCCATCGCATTCACAGCCCACCGGAGGTTTACTCGCTAAAGTCAAAGACCGGTGCGGGAGTTTCAAACAAGAGCCCAGGATGATGGTCACCGTGAGTACCACCTCATATCATCAGAACAGAGATGAGATTAGTGAACAACCGTTCATCGGCAAACGAGAGTTTTGCAGGAAGGCAAACAAGTAAAAAGAAGAAATATCTCACAAATCGTAGAATGACATAACAAACTAAGGAGTCGTGTATCGCGACTCTATTTGTGGGTGAGTGTGGCCGTCGGTGAGAAAATAAAAAATAGGTCCTACCCGGATTCGAACCGGGGTTAATGGAAGATTGTGGGATCAAAATCCACTGTGATAACCACTACACTATAGAACCGAATTCACGCAGATTTCATTTACATAAGATATATCACATTCATAAATTGACCCAAACATTCGTAGCATTATCCTACCTAGTCCCTCGCCATGCTGCTTTATGACTGTGAATTGAGTATGTGATTAGATTCAAAAAAAGGCGAGAAAGCTACAAAGCACGATCAAATGTCCATTCCTTCCCCCCCCTCTACTCGCACCTCCCAGCGCTGGTCAACGTCTCCCACCCGACAAACAAATAATTCGTCCCAGCCGGTCTCTGCGCAAGCGTGACCAGCTCCGTATACGGCAACTCCCATCCAGCCCTCGAATGCAACGCCATAAACGGCACCTCCGTCACAGGACCCAACCCCAGATTCAACGTCCCATTGCACAACCAATTCGGCGCCGGCAGGTTACCTCCGCTGGTTTCGTACTGGGCATGAAACTCGAGTGCCTTGGCGAGCCGCGTCGCCAGTTTGACCGGCGTGGACTGCGTCGAGTTGGTTACGATCGAATATGTCGTCGCATTCACCGACGACGTCCTTTTGTACAAATCGAGACCTTGGATCCGCAATGTTTCCGCCGCATGGCTGATCGACGAGATCCCATAGCCCGAGTGCACAAAATCGCGGCACGTCTCCTGTGAGAGCCCGTCCACAAAGGTCGTCTGGTATTGCCAGTACCGGATGAGTCGCTCTTGGGTCGGGATGGACGAGGTACTATATTGGCTGATCACCGGCAACGGACCGTCCGACTCGAGGTACAAGTAGGCTGGGATGCGAGAGAGGAATCGTGTTAGGGCTTGGTCGTAGATGCTCCCGTCCGACAGGAACACGGAGATACCAATCGCAGCTTCCATCATGACTAGAATGGAGAAGTGTTGTCAGATGTAAGACCTAAGCTACTAATTCTTTGACGCGGCGTACCTAGCTCCCAGTTGCCGTTACTATTGGAACCCAGCAATAGCTGAGGAACATACGCCGTGCGTAACATTGTCTCAAACTGTGTGATATCGCTCCTCTTCCATCCTTAGAAACAAGGGAGAAGGTATTAGTGACAGATGCCATACACCGACACCATCACCACCACCATTACTGACCTGGATACGTCCACCGGATGATCTCCGCCGACCTCGCCCACGAAGCCGCCGACCAACCAGTCTGCAACGGCGCATTGCTCCCATTATGACTCTTCAGCATCGACCCCCACGCATTCAAATACTCCACCGCCTTATCCGCATACTTTCTCTCTCTTGAGACATACCACGCAAGACTCATCGCATAGCTCGCCAACGCGTCTTGTCTCTCCGGCGTACACCCAATGTTCGGAATCGAATTCGACCCGCACTCCACGTTCTCGTACGGCGTCGCAGTTCGGTTCAATGCCGCCATAGGAAAAGCAAGCATCGCATTGTAGGCGGACGTCCAGGGTTCCTGGCCCCGTCGAACTTGTGTACGGATGAATTCTAGTCTTGGACGGTCGAGAAAGACACCCGGGTGGACGAATCTGGAGGGAGCGGCTTGGACGACTTGGCCGGAAAGAAGGACGAGGTGCACAATGGTGGTCGTTATGGACAGTACCAACAGGCCCAGAGCACTACGAAGCATCATAGCTGATCACACCTGGGCTTTAAAGACTGTAGGCGCGGTGTTGGAGGGGACGAGGAAGGACGATAGGGAAGGAAAGAAAGGGATTGCGGGTTCATGACGCCGCTATTAAAGTAGTCCCTCCCAGGGATTTCATCCCTTTTTCCTGCTCTTCTTCTTCTTCTTCTCTTTCAAG